ATTTGCAATTTTCCATCTCAAAACACTTCTGCAGATATGTGCGAGCCTCTGCACTCAAAGCAGGCCAGCGCCTTATCGCTCAGTACTGCTCACATGCTCGTCGGCTTCTTCTGCCTCAGTTACAGATGGCTCTTTACGATGAAAATTGGAGAATCAGACATGCGGCGGTCACGCTTATTGGAGATTTCTTATTCAATATATCGGGTCAGTAGTTGGCGGTTGTTCATCTGATCTGCCGTTTATGCGTAAATTTATGCTTGGGATTTTTTGCAGGAGTTTCTGGTAAAAGTACCACGTCCACAGCAAATGAGGACGACACTATGGGCATGGAACAAGCTGGAAAGAGCATCGTACGTGCTCTGGGTCAACAGTGTCGCGACCATGTTTTGGCAGGGCTCTACTTGGCGAGGTTAGATCTGAACATTTCAATCATTTTCTTAAATAAACTCTGTTTATTTCTAGATCCGATGTGGCACTTGTTGTGCGGCAAGCCGCTGGTCATGTTTGGAAGATCGTTGTTGCTAACACACCAAGAACTCTCAAAGAAATCATGAAAGTGTTGTTTGAGATGGTACGTTATCTGCTTTGGGCACTTCGAGAACGACAGAATGAACAACATATTTTTAGGTAGTAGATTCCGTTGCATCATCTTGTGAGGAAAGACAACAGATGGGTGCTAGATGTCTAGGTGAATTAGTGAGGAAGATGGGTGACAAGATCATCAACGAGGTAAGGAGTGTTGCGCTCGAACGTCAGTTCATGATCTTCTTGGGGTGTAGGTTCTGCCAGTGCTAGAGATGAACCAGAAATCTGAAGATCTCGAGAAACGAGTAGGAGTAGCGGTTGCGCTGCATGAAATTATGGATAATACTACAAAGGTAACGAAAGTTTTCTTGTAAGGTTGTTTTTATTGCGCTCTCCTTTGTTCCAGGATGTTCTCAGTCATTATTTGGAGAGTTTGGTGACGCCAGTTCGCAATGCCATCTGCGATCCTTCTCCGGTGGTACGATCAGCGGCTGCCGACACTTTCTCGGTGTTGTACCAGGTAACTATGCGAAAATTTTGCATCACCTACCTACATTATTGCATTACAAACATCACTGGAATTGGCGTTTAGATGGTTGGCCATGAAGCGCTGGATGAAATCATCACACCTTTGCTTGAGAAGCTTACACCTGAAAAAGAAGATGTCTTGGCTGGCTTGTGTGAGATTATGAAGCAGAACAGTAGGTAAGTGCAAACAAGATTCTGTGAGATTCGCTCCGGGGCTGTCTGTGAGATTTGCTTGGTATTTTGTGGATATCCACAGCTAAGTGAAACATTTCAGGCAGATGTTACCTTACTTATTGCCACGCCTTACCCGTCCACCAATCAATGTTCATGCACTCTGCAGTCTGGCCTCCGTAGCAGGTGCTTTTTTAATATCTGAAGTTATCATGTGAAAAACTCCATTTCAGGTGGTTCTCTGTCGCGACAGTTGTCACGCGTCTTGGATGCGCTGCTCTCAGCTTGCGAAACAAATGACCAGTACGATCCGGTAAGCCCAGCGTTTAGTACATGTTCCTCAAAAACACAAAAAATGCTTTCAGATGATTGACAGCTGCGAAAAAGTTGTCATAGCGGTGACTGACGATGAAGGAGTACCGGTGCTTGTAGATTACCTTCTCAAGCAAGCTGCTAAAGGAAATGTACCTGCCATAGTATTGCTGCACACTTTTGTTTCCAAGAGTGGAGTAAGTTCTGGTTTGCCAAATTCTCGCCTAAGAATTAACTTATCATTTCTTGTAGGTGAATCTCAATTATCTTGTGGGTGATCTGCTTCCTGGATTGTTAAACTTGTACACTTCAACAAATGCACAAATCATCGACCACGCTGTGAACTCTGCCATAGGTGTTGCTCAGGCGTTGGATCAGAAGGAAATGCAGGTAGGATTTTTCGGCGGTTGTACACATTAATTTACATTCTAAAAATACTGTCTTCAGGAGACTATACCTATAGTGAAGAAAGCTTTGAACTACATGGTAGCACAAGCAAGAGGTCGCGATATTCCAGGATTTGCTCACCCAAAGGCTCTGCAACCTCTGCTTCCTATGCTGAGAGAGTCTATCCTGCAAGGTAATTAACTTTCTATAATGCTTCGTCCACATTTTGTTCTTCTTGCTCTTAAGCCACTAGGAAGAGAAAGATACTTCTGTTT